CCTTTATTTAATATTATATATATATATATAATATTATATAAAGAGGCTATAAATATATAATAATTATATAATTATAAAAGGAATTATTACTTATTTATTCCTAATAATATAAATATTAAAAGTTATAATAATTTATAATTCTATCTTATATTATATAATATAGATAGTTATATATAAGCTAATATTATAAAGTATTCTTTTTATACTATTATATAGTATAAATATAATATATAATAAGTTACTTTATTATATAAACCTTTATAATATATATATACTATAATTATATATAGTATATAATATATATTAATTTAAGATATTAATATATATCTTTATAATATAATATATAATATATTATATTCTAGTATTATATAATATATTATATTCTAGTATTATATAATAGGTATTAATTCCTATTATACTATACTAATATCTTATATAGAACTTAAATAAGATATTAATATATATTCTTTATAATAAGTAATATTTTAATATAATTATAATATAATTATAATTTATATAAATATTAATAAATTATTATAATTATAATTATTTAACTATTAATATTATATAATATAATATTAATATATATATTGGTTAGTTTATATATAGTTTATTAGTTTAAAAAAGCTTAAAAGGTAGCTTATTAACTTAAAAAACAGCTTATTAGCTTAAAAATAACTTAAAAAACAGCTTATTAGCTTAAAAATAGCTTAAAAAGTTAATTAGTTTATTAGTTATTAGTTAGTTAGTTTATATATATATAACTAAGTAATATTTTACTTAGGTTATATAGTAAATTTAGTATAATTAAAGTAATATTATACTTATATTAATATTATAATTCTAAACTTATAACCTATTAAGGTATATAAGATACTTAAGTAGAAAAAGTAAAAGGTTTATTAAATATAAATTATAAATAAGAAAAGTAGATTAAATAAGTAAAAGAAGAAAAAAAAAGAATTATAGTATTAATAGCTATAAAGATTATATATAAATTATATAAAGGGATTATTATACTTTATAGCTAAAGACTTTAAAGACCTTTCTTTAGCTACTTAATAACTACTAAATACTTTAATATAAGGCTAATATAGGTATTTTAAAGTATTTAAAAGGAGGTATTAAAAGTATTCTAGAGTATCTAGCTAATATATAACTCCTTTATAACTTATATTATAGTTATTCTTAGTAAGCAAAAGTAGGTCTATTATAATAGGAAAAATTAGGGTATTTTTATAGTATATATAATTATACCTTTATCCCTTATACTTAGTATAAGTAAAGTAATTAACCTATTAAGATATTAGTAATAAGCTAGAAGAAGAAGAGTAAAGAGATAATAAAGATATTATAGTATAATAGCTAGTAGTTCTTAATATAACTTTATTAATTACTAGAGGAGGAAAGTCCTTTCTAGTAGCTCCTTACTATACTATTACTCTTTTATAGCTACTTATTTATATATAACTATATATAGGTCGTGACAATAGGCCATCCGGGCCCGCTTCCTAAAACTGGCACAAGTGGCTATAGAGGCTTCTAGCACAATCTTGCTCCCTAATTGATTCCTAAGCTGGCAGAGAGTGAGACTAGGACTCGCTTGACGGGATATAAGTCACTATTTCCCTGTTCAGGGGTTGCCGAGACTACCTGCCGCTTGGGGGGGACGTTCCCTTGACTACTACCTGCCGTCCTCAGCTCACCCGATCCTGCGCCGCTCGTGATGGCTTAGTAGCCCCAAGAACGGAGGCAAGATAGCGTACCAAGATGGACTATTGGGCGTAGAGGAGACGGAACGGGCGTACTCTGGCGAGATGTTGGTGTTGCACTGCATGCATATTAACCTTAGCCGTCTCACTGCTGTGGGTTCATGAGGCGTTTATGACGGCATTTTGTGCTCTTACGTCCTCTGAACGGTTCAGCAAGGTCGTGGCTGTGGACTATTAATGTGCGCCGGCATCGCGTTGAGCTTTATCACGGTTAGACGGAAGAGCTAGTGCAGCCGGAAGCTTCCTACCCGATGCCATCTGACCAACTGGAAATGACGTGTCGTGCGTGAACAGCTCAAGGGCCAGCATGACCTGTCTTATCTGGTGTCTCCCGAGAACTCTACCTTACTAGCGAGTGGCATGGATCCCGGACGATGTGCGAGAGAAGATGACGTTGGGGGGGGTTATATCTATTTAGCACGGCGGCCTCGGTGTGGCCGGGCAGTGAAGTGATTGGCACGGAGGAGCGGTTATGTACCTGCCTCCCCCATCGGACCCGCTATCATCTTGGAAAACACGGGGAGACGGTAGGAAAACACCGGGCCGGGCTCCTGCAAGCGTTTGGGACTCGTTGGTCGCATGATTCAGCTGTGAGCATATAAGCTAGACAATGCACGTCTCTCTTTATCTCCACTTTGGCTATACTGCGAACACCAAACCCCTTAATTCTTTTCCTCCCCACACACTGCAACTCAAGCAAGTCCTCTTCGATTATTGACTCTAAGCAGCGGAAGCTGTTGCAAAGGTTCACTCCTCCTGCCTCTCGGCCAGACACGGCATTCTTACATGACAAGGAGGCGCATTCGGCTCTTAGAAAATCTAGGGACACAGCGATTTATAGCCCCTCTGATGTCAATTCTAATACTGAAAATGAAGCTGATGCGAGTTAAGAACTCGACGGCTCGCAATCATATTCAACACGTACAAGCACCCCGGATTATTTGGGTAAGTCGAGGCTATGGGGCTCCTCTCGGGTGAAGGGTTCTGACAACCGACGTATAGATCTGACTGCTACCGAACATGGCACAACTAAGTCAGAAGTGGACACTGCGATAGCAGTATCCCTGGCTCAAGCGGAAGCCGCCCTAGCTTAGCCGAATGAGACATAGTCGTCTTACCTAGCTGATGCTGGACCGAGCCAGCAATCTTCTTGTGAGATGAATCACATACTCACCAGAGACACGTCTGCTTGTCAGGATGTCAATTTTGCAACCCCTCCCGCTAGCCCTGAAAGCCAGCCATACCCAGCTGTGGCAGACGGGCAACAGCTTCGACTCGTACCAGGCAGTCAACAGAGCAACAAGATGGTCGATGCTATCTTTAACCATAACACTTGTTATAATGCCTAGGGTCATCCGGATTCCCCCTTAACTTGCACATACTCTCCGCGGACTGCCAGTCCCGTCGAGGTGGGCTAGGCATCACTACAGAAAAGCAAAATACCCGCCGGCGATTCGTGCGACGATACCATTCCTGAAGCTCGCACCCTATCTCCCATCAAACCCTCGCCTGAACCGCATCAAGGACAAGGCTTGGAAGATGCAAGCTGCGCGTCTCAGCCATGTCGAGTCCGAGGTCACGGAAGCTGGATCCGGTTCTGAAGCTGACGTGTCTTCCACGTCGCCGTCTCTTCGCCGTTTCCGTCACAAATTCCTACAGATGCATAAAACGATGCAGTCTAAGGATGATGACGCAGATAGTGAGGGTTCTGGGAACGAGGACGGCCTTGACGGGCTAGAATCTCCACACTGTGAAGAGATCTCCCCTTCACTTCCGGATGATGAGGCTTCAGATTCGGAAGACGATGATTTCCATGTTGTTCACCAAGTTCGCAAGCGTCGCAAGGTCGGCAGTGGTTGATGCCCCCGCTTGCCGGCTAGCTATATAACTACCTCCTAGAAGCAAAATCATATATTCGCTCACATAACCTTTTATCGCGGAGCCGGTAGTGTCAATTACATAATGCCTTAGTATACACCTTACAAAGCCGAACGTATCCTGTCTAACATAGCTAGAAATGCGATACACCGCTATCCGGACAGTCCTCAGAATCACTATGGTTCACATTCAAGCAGGACGACGCCTCCGTAGTAGGTTCAGAGATATATCCTACTATAATAGTATAACTCTACTACACCATGATTATGCTCTTCTCAAGGCTTTAGCACCGATAGATGCCCAGTCCTCGTCCTCAGTAGCATCGTTGTCCTCAATCAAGGCCGTCTCCATAACACTCCCTTTCGCACAGCTCAGGTCATCGATATCGAGGCTTAGCGGAGCTGTCTGGGTGCTCTCGCCTATCGATTCCTGAGCTTCAGCTCTGTCATCCCCTAAACAAGCTGGTGTATTATTATTATCAGGTGTAGTCTTCGAGCTTGTCGTACGTTTGAAATGTTGAAGAATTGATGATTGTTTCGCAGGGGGTCTCCAGGTGTGGTGCCTCTCATTAGGAGGTTTCAACAACTCTAGGAAGGTCAAAGCCATGATCCGTAGCTGCAAAGTGTCAACTATAGCCTTGTGGTTCCTTCCAGTGAGGCTATGGTTCGGGAAAAATAGCGGGAAAAGAACTTCTAGTTTGCAACAGAACTTCTGTCCTGAATCCAAACGCCCGAGATTCCTAGAAAAGTAAGGGGTGATTGGCATGCAATTGGAATCTGCTGGCAACGTCTCTCTCATGTCGTAGCCTTGCTTCTCCATATATGTCCTCAGAATTCGCAAGTCTGCGGCATTCCTATGCCAAGTAATAATCAGAGTGTCTGACTTCACGATATCCTTGAGCCGATCAGCGACGTCTTGCACGCTGTCATAACGCCTTAGCCGTGGAAGACGGTTGTTTCGCCAGTTTCGTTTCCCAAGCTGATGCTGATTAAAAAGTCGAGCCACGTCCATGCTGAGAACTGGAGAAGTTGAAAATTTTGCATCCTGGCTCCTCTTGTCCCGTCCGAGGACCATGTCAAGTAAAGTTTGGCCGGAAGTTAACGCAACAATGGCGATTTCGTAGACCTTAGTAGAGTTGCGTTTTACATCAAACTCGAGATCCATACAGACCAAACTGTCTGCCGACATGTCGCCCTTCTCAATTTCCTTCAGCCGCTTAATAACAGGCTGGAAATCAATCTTGCTCCTGGTAGACTTTATAAGCTCCCACTGTCTTGTTGCTCTGGTCGCCAGGGTCTGGCGAAGACTGAATATTTGTGGTTGCTCATGCCTGCCAAGGGGAGCTGATCTTAGATGCTTTTTGCAGAATATCGAGTTCATCCAGGGTCTTTCAAGACATAGATGCCTTTGGCACGTTGCCTCTTTGAACTTCGATAGCAGTCCATAACGCTTCAGCGCGCGCAACCATTGTTTTTTGCCGTTACATGAGGCGCAAGCATGATTAATTGCCACATTGCCACTCTTTATATACACGGAAGCTGTATCTGGCGTAATGCGAGCTTGGAGCGGGCAGTCTTGTTCTTCTTCCGAGATATCACGAACATCGTGTTCAGGGTTGAGACGAGTACCTGAACATACATCGCCAACTGTAAGCCAGAATCTCCTGCTTGGCCTCAGCGGAGTCCTGGAAGCTGTCGGTGTGTAAGTAATCAAGAGCACTGTTAGGACTGGTCCTTCAGACAATAAACCGAACTAACCTTCCAGGAGCAAAACCTCAGTATTTGTTTTTCGAATCAACTCTTCGTCCAAACTATCAAAAGTCGCCGCGCCATTCTCGATATGATCCCAAATGGTCATGCCTGGGTCTTCGTTAAGATATGTCCTTGGATGAGCGCTGGGACCTGGCTTAGCCCTGGCAGCGTAAATGTTTCCGGGAGCCTCGCTCTCGTCGCGCAGCTGGTCTTCCGAGCCAGGGTTCGGTGCACAGTGATCATTGTGTGAATGAGAAATGGCTTTAAGCTCGCCGCTCTGCTTATCAGGGAGACGGCCTTGTTCGATGAGAGCCTCGCACGTTGTGGCTCCAGAAAATACAAGCGGCAAGAACTTCAACCAGAACTCCTCAAGCACATCCTCAAGCACGAACGGATGGACTCTTTGAAAAGTATCCTCAGCCTTGCCCTCTCGTCGTGCTTCGTGGCGTTTCGCATGTGTCCAGACGTGCTGTCGCTCAAACACGTGCTTTGTGATTGAACGGATACAGACAGGAACTGTGCAAACCCATTCACGGACCGAGACGTCTGTGGCGCAACTTCTCGGGTTTGCAATTAGACAGAGTGTTTGGATATGGTGTACAATGTTGTCAGCCGCCGCGTCAGAGGTCCCACAATGTGGACAGAGATATCGGCCATGTTCATCCTGTCCCAGCATCAACTCAAGATCGGTTCTCTGGGCTCGGCGTCTCCATCGGCGCCCATGTCGTACATGAATGTGGCGTCGAAGGTTTGCCGCCTGGGCTGTCGCGTGAGCGCAATGAGGGCAGCAGAACTTCCCATCATCATTCTTCCTGAAAAGATGATATCTTTCGTTCTTTACTGGGATCTTCCTCCCGTGCGCCTTACGGACGTGTCTTTGCACAAAGCTCCTGTCGGCAAATGTCCATTTGCAGCCTTCAAATGGACACATTATTCTTCCCTGACTGTTTTGTAGGTATTTTTGCCCTCGAGATTGGAGAGTTTTGGGGATTTGCAGGGCATCCTTTACGGGCACACTGCTTCTCGGCGACTCATCAGCGCATTCTGGCTCGGGTATGTTGTGCCCAACCGGGCTCTGCTGATGCTGATGGAACGTGGTCACAGCCGACTTGGAAGAAGTACCCAGCGTACTCGAAGCCCCCAGCTCGCTGTAATTAACGGACGTCTCCTGATGCAATGTTGCCCTAGACAACTGTGCGTTGGAGGCATGGTCTAATGCGTGTCAGCTATATTACATCGAACCTATAGAGAAGGAAAGAAAAGAAGAAGAGACTGCCGGCCGGTCCACTAGTGCTACAGACTAACCTTTTGCAACCTGCACCAAATCTCTTAGAGCTAGACTGCTTGAGTCCTGGTCCCTTGATAACTCCTTTCCTGAGGGACAGGTTCCTGGTGCCCCTGAAGGGTCTACCTTGCTTGATTGCGACATCTTGGCCATCTTCTGTCTGCGGGGTTTTTCTGGTGCGTTTTGGAAGTAGTACCCGATGGTCTGCGTATTAGGGGGCATCTCTGAGCGACCTTTGTCCAGCGACAAGCGGCCATGTTTCCTAGGAGCGGGGGCCATGGCTTCCGCTAGAAGTCTCCCGTGTCTTGATTTGGCAGAAGCTGACTCTTGAAAAATTGTGCAGTGACCCTTGAAGATAGTACATACCCCTTTGGTGAGTAGAACAGCATGCCCAAGTTTGATTAGATTCCGGAGTCGAGAAAGAGTAAATGAGATCCAATGGTCTATGTCGTCATCGATTCTCCCTTGACCCACTGTTAGGGAAGAGGGGTAGAGAGGCCACAGGGGACACACAGGTCATACGTACGGAGGCCGCCGGAAGCCGCAGGGGACCTCTAGGTCACGTGTTAGGAGGCATATAGTGGGAGGCTGCCGACGAGCCACTAGCGAGAAGGCAGCGATAATTCCACCTCTTTCATCAACACCACCTAGATCATACTGTAACGAAGCACTCTAGACCACATAACCTCACACCCACTTAGTTGCAATAGCCCATAACTCTGTCATGCAGTATCTTCCTCGTTCCAATTCACTTGTTATCCAGCTCCTTGCATTAGTAGATAGGAAAAGGAATCACTAGATATACGAGTGAGCGTCAATGTCCTTGGCGAGAAGATGAATATTGTCTAATTAGGAGTTGCTATGTATCTCGCGAGGTATCTAGACTAGGTACGTATCCCAATCGTATGTTTGCGTCTTGAGTTCAAGGTTGATTCGGACTTAAGACGGGCTGCCACTTGCTATAACGAAAACAGGATTAGTTACGTTGTCCATCATCTGCACGGGTATGGAGATGCTTCGCAGGACTCAAGTGCTTCGCAGGAATCAAGGAAAATCTTGGGTAACGTACCATTTCCATTCACTCGAGCGATCCGAGAAGGACTCTTCCTGCGACGGAGCCCGAATTAGATACGTCGTCCTCCATCATTTCCAGGGCATAGAAATGCTTCGCGGGACTCAAATTGTATTCATAGATGGTACACGTACTTGCTGATGGCAATCAGGCTAGACACCCTCGTTGAGGATATCAGAATCGCCCGCGTCGAGAACGACCATGGTGCTGCAGCGGAAAAGTCTGCCACATGCGGTTCCCATCTCGATCTATTGCACTCGTCAGCTGGAAAGCTCCGTGAACGGGAGTCGGGTTCGGGGTCAAGTTCGGAGATGAGGAAAAGCGTCATACATTGTTGCCGGCGAAGTGGTGCAAGGGGGTTTTGCTGAGCATCGCATAATCTATACAATAGGTATCAGTCACCATGTCAAGGTGGTTTGGCTGGGGAGGCGAATGCAAAACTCACACTCGAGCTCCGACTTGCGCAGAGGCGGCGTGTTGGCAGCCATTATAATCAGCTTCGCCTTCCCCTGGCGCAGGGCCTTCAGCGTCGACTTGTAGCCGAGAGAGATCTTGCCCGACTTCACGACGAGAGCCAGGCGCTGGTTCAACGTGTCGCTGCTCTTCTTGTTAGATTTGGCTCGAGCCATGCTGACGATTCCAGGTGCTGAGAAGATCTTAAGATGTTGCTTGTGAACGAATCTTGCTGGTGGAAGATTTTGGGGAGTTTTTTTTTTCATTTTTTTGATGGGTTGTAAGCGCCGCTAGGGCACGTGATTGATGGTCCCGCTTTCGGATTAACCATTTCCCGTTGGTCAGTAGTCGCAGGGTAGAGTATTTGGGGCCTGTGATTGGATGGAGAGATGGGGCTTTTACGTGCACCTCAGCTGACAGGCATCCCCGGCAGGTACCTACGAGTACACTGTACTCCGTACGTACACGTGCCACACCCCCACTATATACACAGTAGGGTGCTATAGAGCCACACAGCCACTATAGCCCCGCAGCCCCCTTTTCATAACCTTCTAACTTAACTCCTTTATAACTTGCCTAATTATAGATAAAAACGCCTAAAAAAAAGAAAGTACTATTAATAAGTATTTATCTTTCCTTAAAAAAAATCCTAACTTCCTTATTATTATTATAATAAAGAAATTTAATTTAATATAAACTATAGTTTAATATTAACTAGATAGAATTAATATATACTACTTAGAATATTTATATATAGTAAAGTTAAAATAACTAGAAAAAAAAGTAATTTATAATAATAGTAGCTAAACCATACTAGTAGTTAGGGTAAAGGGTTAGAAAAAATAGGTTTTTTTTTAAACTAAAGTTATCTACTAGTAGATAAACTTAAAATTATCCACTAGTAGATAAGCCTAAGTTAAGCTAAAGTTATCTACTAATAGATAAACCTAAGTTAAGCTAAAGTTATCTACTAGTAGATAAACTTAGGTATTAAAGCTAAAGTTATTT